CACCTCGCAATAAAAAAATACTGAGTGTATATTTAAGAAATTACGGCTCGTATCAAACTGACAAAATTAAAGCATAGAGATTTATCGATTTATAAATACCTTTTGATTAAGTATATTACTTTTTCGCCACAGTCTTCTAAAGCCACCTGAAGTAGATTCCGAATAAACAAGTTCAACTTGGGTTAAAGTTTAATACAGATACTACTTCAGACCGGCTCATTAAAACAATTGAGAACGACGGTAATTGAGACTTCTCATGGAATTTTCACAGAGCGCAGAAATATGATGCAATATAATGTCGATCATAATTTCTTTGATAATAATAATGTTGACATTTGCAATGATAAAATAACAGATGTAACAGTTTAATGAACAATGATAAATCTTAGGAAATAAAGCACACTTTCTAACAGTTCATATGCGTTATTTACCAAGCTTGTTCGGACAGGATTGCTAGATATATTGGTCGGGGTTTTTTCTCTTTTTTCTGTGTGTGTGAGTGTGTGTGTGTGTGTGTGTGTGTGTGTGTGTGTTTGCTTTTGTTTGTTTGCTTTTGTTTTGTTTTGTTTTATCTTTTTTTTTCTTGTTTTGACTGTCTTCCACTTTGCTGCCGACATTGTCCAAAAGCCACGAACTTTGTGCGCTCCCCGCACTTTATTTCTTGCACACTATAGAAGCGGGCGATCTTGATCGGGCCCCGTCTTTCCCGCACGGGTCGCCAATCAGAACACACGATGGCTTCGATGGCTTTAGCGGGCGCTGCCAGCTAAAAAATGAACCTTAGTAATAGACAGCGCGGCATGTTGGGAAAATACGAGAAAATTTGGTGTAACTTGAGGTGCAGCAAAGTGGTTTACAAACTTTGCATTCCTGTGTTTTTTTTTTTTTTTTTTAATCTCTCTTTTCCTTTCAGTTGTTTTTTTAGTTTTGGTTTTCTTCCTTTTTAACGAACTGTTTTAAGATGAAGTGCCTCAGTTATTTCCTTTTTTTGTCAAAAGGAGAAACAGATGAACGTTAGAATATAATTCAGTTCAACTTCAGTCGACCACTTGGATCCAAAACTAAAGAAGACCATAGAAGCAACGCTCATTTTACTAGCATTAATCTGAAATAAAGCATATATACAGAAGCAAATTACTCTAAAATAGATATTGGCCCAAACATGCGTAATAAACAGAGATATAGTATTAACACAACATTAATATTATTTATGCCTTTTCTCCCTTATAAATTATATGAACAACCCAAATATGCTGCCTTGCCTGAGCTATGTTTACTGGGAAAAATTATAACCAATCAACAATTGGATTAAATGGCTATGGGCAAAATCCCATAGCCGCATTTATTTAAAATTAATGTTCAATCAAATCCTTGATACAAAGTTTGGCCCAGTAAAGGTGAGGGCACTGAAAACGCCAAAAAATACATTATAATGATCTGAAAATGAGGAGTGGCTGGGACAAGGGGAAGAGGAGGGATGAAAAACCACGTCTTTAACCACCATGAAGATGGAACGGAGTGACGCTCGCATGGGAGCCTGGTCACTTGGCAAGCACAAGTATCCTAAAGGGTATTGGGTATAATCCAAATAACTGCCACCCCAAGTCCCAGGCCCCCAAAAGAAATAAAAAGTTAACAACGGGGAGAAGAAGCATAAAAATTCTATTTGCAAGCAAATATTTCCTGTTTGTCAAAGCTGTTTCTTAGTTAGAATTAGAATCATTATCTATATAATGCTAAAGAATGCCTCTTAAAACAATCAGCTTAAACTAGTTATTTAAGAACGAAAGAAAGGAGCAAAACGATGGGAAAATTTTTCACAGAATCGAAGTAATAGAGATGATGATCGTCGGCGACGATTAATTATACGCGGCACCTCATCAGCAGGTTAACAACCGAGTTATAAAACGAGTAACGATGTTCTCGATGCTCCAGATGAAGCCAAAATAAATATCAAAAGATTACCTTTATCAAGGGTGTTTCTCTGAGAATGAATAGACTCTCGCTAAACAAAGTCCGAAGTGGCTGAATATAAATATTCCTTCCGTCGTGACATAAACCAACAAAAAGGAAGACTGTGCTGTTTACTTTGCATAAGGATGTCTTTCAGAATCCAATAATCACATATGTCGATGACCTAAATTCGAATCGAGCCAATAAGAGGACACAAACATTGTGGGCTTGCAACCGTCTGGAGAACTAAATTAACTTCTGAATAAACAGTTTTATGGAAGTAAAATTTTACTATCACTTTGTTCTGTACTAATATTCAATCCAGCACGTTGGAAAACGTACATCTACTTACATTGACAGCATCTGAGAAATCGTATAGTTAGTAGAGAGTTTGTGAAAGCACCTTTACGCATGAAAAGTTCAAGGCGCTTTGAGTGAGAAATTACCTCTGACGATATATTCCAAGACAATAGATAGTTACACGCCTGGCAAATACTGTTCTATTAGGATCAAAAAAGGCGAGAATGATAGTAATAATTGCGATTATGACGATGATGATAAATGTGATAGTAAAATATTGACAAACATCCTAATAAATTGAATAATAATAACCTATAGATGGATAGATCTCATATAGTTTTAATGTTTTCAAAGACTACGGCTGATCGGCATATAACATATTGTTATCTCTGCTGATCAAAAATTAGAATTATGACATCATCTATATTTCGAATCAGCCAACCAAGTGAGAGATGGTGAGAAATAACATAACGTTTAGTAAATTCATTAATTTGTTTCAACCGACGGCTGTCAAGAAAATTTTTTCCATTCCTAACAGTTTCTAATTCTTTTTGCTTCGTTTTTCTTGTTTTGTTTCAAGTTTTTGTCTCTAGATGTAAGTTTGTATCGCTTTGTCTTTTGACAGTTATCAGTAATTTGCAAGCGTTTAGTTGTGATCAAGCGACAAAAAGAATTAAATATTCATGCTTACGATGCAAATTAACCAAAATACATAATTAATTCTTTCTTCCGAGAGGTGCTGAGAAGAAAAAATGTCTTGCGAGGTCTTTTAAATATGTATGTATGTACGCACCCACTGTTTGTTTCTGTTTCAGAATTGCAAAGTGTCTCCAATTATTTGTTTTATTATTATAATTATTATTTTTCTCCCTTTTCTTTTTATGTACTTTTTAAAAGCAAAATGCTTTCTTCGTTTGTTTTTCTCATTATTTTTATCATTTTTCAAGAAGAAAATCGCCTGACTGTTCAAATATAAGCTGTTAACTGACTTACTCTAAGGAAAAATGATGGGCAAACAGCGGGGTGGGTGGGGGGAAAGCAAACCCTTTAACTCCCAAGGTCTGATTATTCTCTCTCCCCTCTAAGTGCTACATACATGGGTGGGGTGAGGGTAAGGTAAACCTTTTAACTCCGTAGGTCTGATTGTTACCTCTCCCCTCTAAGTGCTACATATTTCTTCGTAAAGTAGACACAATGATTTGATGTTAGATTGAGATGACTACCAGATAAGTTTGAGTATTCTCATTACTTGTTTGCTGGATAATGTATGCATATTGTAGGGAGAGTTTTCTCAGTAATTCCTTCTGGGAGTTTAAAGTTATCCTATCTCTCTTTCCCTTGGTTACAGTTTTTAAAAGGAATAGACTCTCTTCAAATAATTTCGGGAATTTTGAGGTAAAATCATCGAGCATCGCGCTCGAAATCTCGTTTGCAAACATCTGTGGATACCTTGAACTTTGTAAAAATGACAGTACTCTTATGGAAAACGACCAAATGACAGAAATGTAGAGGAAAATAAAGAATGTTTCTATCA